GGCCTCACCTTCTTCAACGACAGCTCAGTCGAAGACAAACTCAATTATGCGTGCGATCCGAGCTCGTCGGCGTCGGAGGGCTACGGCAGCCGGATGCTGGAGAAGGACGACACCGTTTTGGACTGGAGGGACTACTTCGACCACCACACCCTCCCCCTCCGGCGCCGGAACCCCACGCGATGGCCCCATTTCCCCGCAGATTACCGCCAGGTGGTTTCCGAGTACAGCGATCGAATTGCTTCGCTGGCGCGAGAGTTGCTGGGGCTGGCGTCCGAGAGCCTGGGGCTTGAAACGCGGCGTTTAGAGGAGGCGGTAGGGGAGTTTTGGCAGAACATTACGATCAGCTATTACCCGCCGTGTCCTCAGCCTGAGCTGACTTTGGGCCTGCAGGCCCATTCGGATTTTGGTGCGATTACGCTATTGGTCCAGGACGAGGTGGGTGGGCTTGAGGTGCTTAAAGACGGAGAGTGGGTTCCTGTGAAGCCTTTGGGTGGTGATGCCATTGTTGTTCTTCTAGCTGACCAAACCGAGGTACCTTATCATCTATCAAACATCAAACACCTTCTTATTCTTCTTTTAGCTGACCAAACTATGAAAAATTTGCAGTTTTCATTTTTATAAAGAAATGAGCTAAATTGGTTAAACAAGTTCTTTTGTAATAAAGTTGAAAACTTTTGTTGAATATTTAAAGAAATGAGCTAAATTGGTGAGAAAGAAAAGAGGGCAGTAGAAATTAGAATGCAGTGAGTTTAACTTATCTTGAACAGTGTCAAATTGCTATGATCAACTTTGTTTGTTATGACTTTGTATTAGTCTATTCGAAGATTCGAAGGATTTTCTGAAATAAAATAGGCATGGAGAAGTGTCTTGTACTGTGCCTTCTTTAATTTTATTATTAATAAAAGAAGTTGAGTCGTTGTCAGTTGATGCTTATGCCTTCTTAAATATATTCAGTCCATTACCATGATGCTTTGGAATTATCATTTGCTGAATCACATTTTGTCCACATGAAAATATGCTTGAATCCCAGGAAACTCTCAGTGGATGAATCGTGATGAGTGTATTTCATGGTATTCTTTGAGCTTTTAGGCTTCTCGATGATATTGAATTGAATCAAGTGGTACTGGTAGCAATATGTTCTATTATGTCTAGAGACATCAACGTTTTTGTCTGGGTAGTTGTGCTTATCTGTCGGTCTTGGCCAGGCTTCTGATCGTTTTTGTTTTATATTTGCTTGACGTATTGATTTTCAGCCTGTTATTATAGTATTCGTTTGTGGGGACCTGAGGACAAGCTGACCAAGTAACCTCATTTTTGTTTTCTTTGGTTTGGTTTTTGTTCATTCTTGGTCAATTAGGACAAATGGTTTGAGAATAAACATAGGTTAATATGGCTCTACGTTGACTGTACGTGTAGCCAACCAAGTTAAGACCTACTGCTTTGTATATTTGCTCTTAGTTGCTGTTGGTCATTTAGGACAAATGGTTTGAGAATAAACTTAGGTTAATATGGCTCTACGTTGACTGTATGTGTAGCCAACCAAGTTAAGACCTACTGCTTTGTATATGTGGTCTTAGTTGCTGTTGGTCATAACATACTAAAAAAATTCACATGTTGCTAACTCTGTCAGTCTATAAGGAGTCACACTGTATATCATAGGCCTGCTTTTACACTTCGTGCAAGGGTTAAGCCATAATTTTCTTAAGCACTTTATTTTGTCTTCAATGAAGCTGCTAATTGTTTGATGTCATTGACAACCACTATTTCTAGACATTGGCATGACATCCTCAGTTGTACTTATTTTTCTAACTCTTTTCATTGTTCTTATATGATTTGGATAGGGATATTAAGTTTGGGTCCCATGGAACACATTGAGGCTTGGTCATTGTCCTTTCTGATTTGTCGTAATAATTGGCTTTAACTTAGATCACAAATAACTGTGACATGTAGAGGAACCTCTAATTAATCCAACCACTACGAAACTGACTTTCACTGTTGGGTTTGGCTTTGGATCAATACTCAAAGGTACTGATTTAAGCGGTT